GCGCCCCCGCTGCCCCCAGAGCTGCAGGCAGAGCAGCAGGAGCCATGCACCAGTTCAAGTGACAATTGCTTTTTGCCTTTAAGGTCACGTTCTGTTCAGCCACAGTGAACGCAGAGACTTTCCTCTGTTCCTCTGAATGGTACTGAAACTTTGTGGGATGGCTCATAAAGGCTAAAAAATGTTTTCAAACTGTTAGGAAAATTGGAGGAAATAATCTATGCAATTTCTGTTTTAATTTTGTAATTGTGTGATGCTGGTGCTGCTTGACTTTTTTGTTTGTTTTGTTTTTAGGGAGCTTTGTACAAAATACTGTGGTGTTACAGCAACAAACGTTTGTTTTTTAAACCAGTGTGTATAAGATTTCACATTTAGTGTGTAAGATTTCACACCAGCAGATACTTTAGTTGGAATTACAGAACAAATGGGTTTTTTCTTTTTGCAGAAACTAACAAATCAACTTTTCTTAATGTTTCTGGGAAACATGGTTAGGAAAAGTACTGAATATGGAAAAAAATCTGAACGAAAAGCTTAAGCTTACTTACCAAAAAGCTTAAACTCATTTACCAAGTTAAATGTTTCTCACTAGGATAAATTCTGCTCTCCATGTATATGTGTGCTGCTCCACTTGCAGAAATCCTCACAAATCTGGCCAAATCATGCTTATTAGCAAGGAGTTTCTTCCTTGTGTGAACTTTGTCCTACTGGTACATCAAGAGGCATCAGTATCACAAATACACTTCTGCATGCCTCAGCCTATTCTTCTTGTGTATTAGTTAAAGATTCCAGATTTGAGATGCACTTTAAATATAAATTGTCTTTAGTACTGGAAAAGGAATGTAAACTGCTCTAATGGCATTGTGAGGGCTGTAAGAACGCATTATTGTAGGATGCTATTAAGGAGCAAAGCTTGTATGCTTTGTCCCACTAGGGAAGTGGAGGAGAAGCTGTGTGACACAAAAGTATCTGTACCTGAAGGACTCTTGGAAATGTGGCACTTCAAATACCTCCTCTTCAAAGCAGACAGACAGGTTTATGTTTCAAATTGTTTAGAGTCAAATGCATTCTTTTTCAACATGGGAAGGTTCTCATTTCTTGCCACCATGTAACACACTGTATTCCTCTCATACTGGAATTGTAGCCTACCTTTTATGCAGGTGCCTGTAATAATTTCAAAATGACCTGGTGGATTCTTAATTTGACATGTGTACAGCTGTGTTCTGCAGTAATACACTTTAAAGGGGTGGGATGTTTTCAGTATATCAAAGGGTAGGTTTGTGTTTAAGGTCCTCAGTTATTCTGGCTCTCATAGTGTGTACAGCCATGGAATGCCATTGCAGTGCACACCAGGGCAATATTACTAAACTGTTCTCCTTGTGTGGAGACAGACCACCTGCAGGACCTCAGTATAGTCTCTATAAATTGTTCTTCACAATTATTCTGTTTTTGGAAGTAGATTAAAATAAAATGCAATGTTCAACTACCCTCCATCCCGAGTGTATGAACATCTTACATGTGAGAAAGATAAGTTTATAAAAATCCTTGTTTTTCTTGTCTACATCTACAATCATATAGTGTCCAGGCAGTGAAAATGTTTTTCAGTGGAACTGCTTAGATGGGATGGCACTCTGGAAATTAAGTGCCTAAATATGCAAGCCAAACTTTGTTCTTTAACAAGAAATTAAGGATAAGGGTGAACTCCCTCTCCCATTAACTTGAATTGTAGTTGCCTGTACTTGGGATGTCTAGAAACTGATTTGTCTAAATGTGTAACCACTTAAAGAGCTCTGCTTAGGCTTGAGTCCCTTCCTGGGTTCTTGTAAAGAGAAGAGAGTGAGCAGGGTTGGCCTTAACAGAGAAAATGCACCAGCTCAGGGTGGAGGCTGCCTTGCTGCTCCCCATCCTGTCCCGTGCAGTGGGCAGGGACCACTCCCAGCGGAGCCTGCAGACCTGAGACCTTGAGTGAATGTATTGTCTTTCCAAATGTCTATAATGTGCATTTTTAAAACATATTTTTATCACAACTTTTGGAATAAATTCTTTTGTACAATTGCCTGTTTTTCTGTCTGCCTCTCTCATTTTAAAGATGTACAGGTTGCAAGAGCAGTTGATGCCATTACCTTGATGTGTGGTTTTGGTTTTGTGTGCGCAGGAGGCTTTTGTTCTCCTTGTCTTTTTAGAGAAGTCTGGTGGAAAGAGTGACTTAATGTGAAAGGCCTGTGCTTGTAGGACTGCACTCAAGAGCACTCTGTAAGGAAAACATGCATGTGAAATCAACAGCTCTGCTGCTTAAGTAGTTTCTGCAGTTCATGACTACTATTACTAACCTGATTCTCGCTTTTTTTCAAATTACTCTATTGCTCAACTTCCTACGGATGTGAGAAGAGTTGCTTCCAACCACGCATACCGATTTCATTCTTAAATTAAGATTTTTATTAATAGCAGGGGAGAAACAAAAACTTTGAGTGCTGAGAAGCATGACTTGAAAAAGGATTTGCAAATGCTGCAGGCACTGTGGTGTCTCACTTCAGCAACTGTTTTCATTGTACTTTGTGTATAGGGCTTACTTCAAAATAATGACATGGTATTGATTATCAGAGATCAGCTGGATATGGTTTAGCATCTTTACAGTAAAAGAAGTGATCATAGTACAACCAAAACCCCTTCCTCAGATCTTATCCTGCTTCTGGTAGTAGAAGTAATCTGAACATAGAATCATGAAATATGCTGAGTTGGAAGGGACTCATGAAGATCCCGGAGTCCAGTTCCCAGCCCTGCAGAGGATATCCCCAAGGGTGAGTGGCACCCTGTGCCTGAGGGTGTTGTCCAAGCCCTTCCTGAGCTCCGTCAGGCTGCGCTGTGACCGCTGCCCTGGGGAGCCCGTCCCAAACACGCTCTGGGTGAAAAAGCTTTTCTGATACCCGCCCTGAACCTGCCCTGCCCTCCGTCCCCTTAGAGCAGCGCCAGTGTTTTAGCTGATGCAGTAATGTGTGCATGAGTCAATCACAAGGGAGGTCTAGTACAAACTTGGTCCAACAAGTTTGAAAAATCTGTTTTGGTAAAGCTACCTCCTGGAGCAGTGATGATCAGCGCTGTGCCTGCCCTGGGTTAGCCGCTGATCGGATATTAAGGTTTTTTCCCTCCGCTTAGCCTGGAGGTGTGGAAAGGGAGAAATGAAGGCTGGCTCGGTTTCGTGTCAGATTTTCGCTCTCTGGTCACTGGAAGGGAAGCCCCCGGTGCGGCGGAGCCCTCAGGCCCCGTTTCCCGCTCCGCTCCGCCG